AGCCTGAGGAGCACTGACATTTCCAAGAGATGCTTCAGTTATCACCAAGTTTTGGTCAGCTCACTCCCTGGTCAGTGAGAACCCTTCGAACAGGGCCAGAGAAATCAAGTCACGCCAGAAACCTGAAACGTCACCGCAGGTGCCGAGGCTGAACACTGCGCACTCTGTGTGTGGCAGTGGAGCCGGGATGCTCCCGCGCTGCTCCTGCCACCAGTGGGAAGAGTTCTCGGGAGGCACAAACATCACCTGGCTCCCAGGACCTGAACCTGCACCCCACTGGTGACACAGGCACATACTGACCCTGGGCAACCAACAGTCAGCTCTCACCTTCCTACCTGACAGTTACATTATTTCACTTTTTTTTAAACAACCTGGTTACTGTGAAGCACTGGGATATCCAAGCTCCAGAAAGAGCACTTTTGGTACTGTAAATATGCTGTGTTGTGTAGCATTTTATGTTCGTTCCCTCACTTATATTTTTCAGCAAAAGGATCAATAATATCCCAAAGACATTAAAATAAAGCTGAATCCGCAGAAGAAAGCTCAAGTTATCTGCTAGATAAGCAGTCTTTCCCGTTTCCTTAAAGCAACAGAAGTTTCAAATTACTGAACTTTCTCATTCTTTACATTTGTTCACTCTTTCTGCACATTCCTCCCAAGTCTTCTATAAAACCCTGATCTCGCCTTGCCTCAGTACAGCCACTCATTTAATAGTAACAGCCAAAGTCTCAAGATACCAATTTTACAGACTGCACAACACAGAAACAAAAACAGAGAAAAGATGAAATGTGAAGAGAACAGGTTATTTTTAAATGTCACAGAGCTCAAATCCTAACTTCTTAAGTTTGCAAACTGCTCTTCACTGGCAGCTACATTTTTTTGCATTGCAGCTTTTCCCCTTCCAGTCTCTATTCAAAGCCAGGCCAAACTCTCCTTCCCTTCTGCCTCTCAAGCAAAGACTCCCAGCTGTGTTTGCCAGGCTGCTCCCTAAGGAAGGGGCTCATCCCTGGGGGGGAATCGCGGGCTGAGAGACTGACCGACCTTCATGAGAGGTTCCAGCACAGCAGGATCTCGCTGCGGGTGGTTCCCTGGACCAGCAGCCCTTCCAAGGCTGCCTGAGCCCATAAAGGAGGCACTGGTCCTAGCAAGACAAATGCTCCAAGTCCACTCCACCTCTCTGTTTCTCCTAAACCTGGAACCAAATGACTTCCCTCAGCAGCGTCACTTCCATTCTGGGACATAATTATGCTGATTCTTGCAACAGAAAGACAGCTTTCCCCAAGATTACAGATCATTGGAGTAATAAAGATGCATTAAAGCTTTCAAACCAGTAGTAACAGCCATAGAAACATTTTCCAGTTTTGGGTCTGGATAGACCTCTGCCTATACTCTCCCCATTTATCTATACCACCCTACTCCTGCCATAACAGTACAAAAAGAAATACATGAGCAAAAGCCTCTGTAAGTACCATATAAGCTGCTGACCTAAATTTGAGGGAAACAACGGTAGACTGTATGGGTTAGTATATGTGTTAACTGACTACAGTGTGGTAGAGAATCTATTTAAAATACTGTTATATAACTGGTCTTTACCCTATAATTAATATATAAAGGAATATTTAGTTTGTTGTAAAAGTCTGTTTTAATCAGTGTTATAAAATAAATGGCAGTGTTTCCTGCACTGGTATCCCAAGTGGGTAGAAGAAAAATAAACACAAGCTTTGCAAGGTTAAAGGCCACTAATTGCAATTGCCACATTTTTTTTTTCCCCCTCAGGTAATATTCTTAAAGAAATTGTTTAAATTATAGCTGCTAACTTCTGCATAATTAAAGGATAAACTGAAGAGTATTGCAGGGTGTTTGCATTAAAGGTACTGCAGAAAATACATTTTTTAAAGGTGTATTTCAGGATTTGAACTCCTCCTTTCCCCATTTCCCCTTTTTTGCTTTGCTTTCTTTCCTTTAGCCAGTACAGCTGAACTTTCCCTGTCTCTAAGAATCCTCCATGCAAGGGACTCTGATGCTTGAGCAGACCACTGTCCCAGGCAGTATAGGACATAATGCAGTTACAGTTCTGCACTACCTTCCCTTTTTGATATGTTGCAAGATTTGCTGGCCCCCAAAAAAATGTTTAATATTCTATCATCTTTTGAATGGTAATTCATATCACTTTCTTTTTCTTGGGAATATATTTCAGCTATCAACTTCTCACTTGTTAAGAGGAAAACAGAATATTCTAAGTTCACACATCTGGAGCCACTGTGATCCTGCCTAATATTCCCGCAATCTGAAGATTTCTGTGACCAATTACTTACACGAATGCCATTCTCTACCCTGCCATTTCCCTGGCATGCCTGATTTATCTCTGCAAGCCTTTATGACTTTACATTTGGCTTTTATGTAGAAGCAGAGCAGGTCATGTGGTTATCCAGAGGCATTAGTATGGTAATTTTCTTCAAGTTGAGTAGGTGGAAATAATTAATGGACTGCTTTATTGATGTACATAGATAGCTGCTTCTCTCTGTGGTTTAAATTCCCAGCTTCAATAAAGTAGCTTGAGATTTTATCCGAGAGACCAGTAATTACACAGGGCAAGAATAATTGCTGCACAAATACAATCTGATTGTGTTTTATGCTGCTGCCCAGACTGATGTCAGAGCTTAAATACATAAACAAGGATCTGCTGTATGAATAAGCTGCCTTTTATTTCAGCTCATGAGCTTGACCAACACAACTTCAATGCAAGTTGTGAAAATCTGTGCTCTTGAAAGCTGAGCAAACTTCAGAGGAAGCTAACAGTCTCAGAAACAACTTCACTCTCGTCCAGCCCTCTCTCACTTAGCATTTAGTCTTCTTTTATGCCTTCCTTACCTACAGTCACCCTGTCTGCCTTCCTCTGCATCTTTTCTGAAGTATCTTCACCAAGATAAAACCACCACAGCTATAACAGAAATCAGGACAAATGGCTAGTTGGCCTTTTTCTTTACCCCACCCCAATAATTTCTAGCCTTTTCTTTCTCTGACCTCTGTTGAACATAGTTCTCAGCAGGAAAGGTGGGAAATCAGTTCTATCCAGCGAGTTCTGGATCTCTTTCCACAGCTGATAGTTATTGAAGTCCACAGTCACATAGGTATAATTTGAGCCTACACTTCACTGCACATTTTTCAATACCAAATTTCATTTGCTGCTTTATTGCCATGAGATCTTTCTGCAACTCTGCAATTAGTTTTTAGCATGATTACCCTGACAAGTTGTCACCTGTGCGCTTCAGCACTTTGTTTTGAACACTCTTTCCTGGATGATGATCAATGGGAATACAAAGCTCCTAGAATAGATCCCCATGGGATTCTGCTGCTTGTCTTGCCTCCAGTGTGCAGTCAGGCCAGGCATTTCTCACCCTTTACTTGGCCTTCTCACCTGACTCAGGAGACCTATGCTCATCTATCAGCATTTTTGGGAGATCCCAGAACACTCATCAGTCAGCTCACCTTTAATTCACATGCTTGGTGATTTTTTTTCCAAAGAAATTGAGTATTTTTGAAGTATAACTTCTCTTTGAAAATATGTGTTAACCCTTTCCCCTTGATTTCATATTTATTCAAGTGTCTACTAATTCCTATTATACTTCCAGAAAAATGTCTGTACTTGTACAGATTTGTGACTTATTCCCTGGAGCACTCTTTAAGGCTCTTTAAGAATCAGATCACACTCCAATCTCTCAGATTGATACAGATTCCAAGTGATGATTTTAGCAATTCAAGTTACTGTAGCATTCATCGAAGAATTGTGACTCAGCCTGATGATTTTTTGTTTTACCAGTTTCTACCAAAAGGCTGTTTTCTGATGCTTGAGTTTAAGATGGTTCCTCAGACTCACTCCCCATAAAGAACCTCTTGTGCAAGACCCTCTCTCAACACCCTTGTAAAGTTTTAGGGTTGGACCAGATGATCTCTAGGTGTCCCTCCCAACCTTAATCTCAGAATCACAGAATGGTTAAGAACTGATTTAGCTTCGCTGCTACAACATTGTCTCTTATGTGCTCCTTTCGCAACTTGATCAACCGGCTGCCTCTGTGGATACTGCTCTTTTATGCATTTGAAAAAACAAGGACATTGGACAGGCAAAAACTTCTCACTTTGTGGGTAATATTTGTGATAAACCAGCTCTTGAGCAATATGTTTACAGGGATATACAGACAAAACAGAGATGATGCGATCAATCTACAGACACTTTGGCAGAATGTTCAGGGCCTAGAGAAGCTGTTATATGAGATTGCAAGCCACAGCATAGGCTGCATGCAAACTGGAAGAGTAGCTCCTGTACAGCACCACCTAAAATACCTGAAAGGTCCTCACAAATATACTGAATATTTCTGTTCACAGCTGACTAGATTTCTATGGAAATACAGTGCACGTGGTTGTGGGGGAGAAAATACTATTTCCTTAATGATTTTACTCCTGATAGAACTTTGTCTTTCAGTGAGTCAGAAATAGCAGAATAATGAATACTTTCCTATTTCTCCTAGATTTGACTATTGCTTTCTTCAGAAGAACCAGCTAACCTGATATTTGTGTTGGAGACTTTTTGTTTTCTACTTGAACTTCCTTAGATTTTTTAATTACATTTTTTAATACTTTTCTATTACTTTGAGCATCTAGGCAGCAACACTAATTTCCTTAATTACAGATAATCAGACATTAATATTGCATAATATCCCATAATATCCCCATCCACTAATTAACTTAGGTGTGCAGTCTTGGGTGAGTCTTCCATAATTAACCTTCAGCTGGAGCAGAAGCAGAAACTTTCTGAGCACAGGGGCAAGTTGGCCATTGCCCCCCTTTCTTTTTGTCCAGTCGTACACAACAAAGCCAGCACCAAGCATGTACTAGAAAGATTCTCAGGAGGGAATCCAAGCATTTATAAAGAAAGAGACTGCAACAGACTCACGTTTCAGGGTGACAGGGCTGCCCTTTACGGTGCAGCATCGCAGTGCAGAGCTCCACGTGTCTGACTTCCCGGCCACGGGCTGCTGGGGGGACCTGTGTCACCCTGGCAAAGGCAAGAGGAACATCATGAAACATCAATTCACAGCAGCTGTTTTCCACTGCACCTCTTCTGGGGCAATCCCAGTTACATCATAAACTCTTTGTAATACAAAGCTGAAGGAGGTTGACTGCCATTTGTTCCCATTTTACTGCACTTACCACATCTAGTTTATTTTTTTAAACTAAGCTTGCTCAACAATTCTGTAAGTTTGTACCAATATCTACAATATTTGGGCCCAAGAAATTTTCAGTAGAGCCACTTGGACTCCTTCAGGGCTGTTTTCAGGGCTCACATGCTTAAACATCATCTGGAAATGCACAGGCAGAGAATCAGACCAAGAAAAACATTTTAGCTGAAAGAGGAAAAAAAAAAAAAGATTTTCAGTTGTTATATAAGAAGTAACATCTGTGCATTATAGCTAGTGAACTACTGGAATAGGCAGATGCTCAACATTTGCAAAACATTTTCCATCAATGCTCTGTAGATACTTGTGCTGGAGTTTGCTGTGCAAGCAGCAGTCTGAAGAAACTTAAAGATAATCTTTTACTTTTGTAGAAAAGCTTATACACCAAGCTGGCATTAACCCAATCCAAATTTTACATCTAAGCATACCTAAATTTGAGGAGAAGAACTGAGCTGTTCAATAAGGTGATAGGAAAGCACTCACCAAGATACGGCATTTTCCTAAACGCTACTCAGGAGGTATTTTTCCTCCAAAGAACATTCCCAATGAGCTGAGTCTACTACAAATGTGGTGGTCACCTCAAAGCAACAACATATACACTTTCCACAAGAGAAGCCAGACTTCAGAGGAAAGCACCTACACCACAATACCCTGCATACAACATAGGCACTAGCCTCCACAGGGCTTCTTATAGGCTCCTGATGGGTTCTTTTCAACTCCACCCTCTAGGCAAAACACCTGTGTTTGTGCCCTATGAGCTCAGCCTCATGCTCTTTCCTCCACTCTAGGTTTGTAACCTTTATCACATGCAGTTTGGAGATCAGAAAAATGCTTTGAAATGCTATGAAAAATGTAAAACAAAATCTGAACACTTCAAGAAGGGCATCAACATTAGGACCTGTAAATTTCCACCTGCTACACAAACTGTAGAGAATTTATGACAAAGCCAAAGTTGCCTCATTATAAACTTCAGTAGGAGCAAAGGATGCATGAAAAAACTGGTCTGTCCTTCATATGTCTTTTGAGTTGCTCTTCAGTCATTTAGTCAGATATATTTTGATCATCCAAAGAGAGGCTTGTCTATACTCGGAAACTGCAGCTGAGATGCCATATGACCCTTCACCCTGCAGGTATCTGATGGGAAGCAGTATAGACTCGCACACACAACATTCTTCTAGCTTTGTCAATCAAGGTACAAAATCTTTTATTTTTAAAAGAATTTCACTAAACATGAGAATTATTTAGAAGTTGTGTAGAAAGGGAATGTTTCCTATCCAAGTATACATGGTATGCATGTAAAGTTAGCCTAAGGACAAATGAGTCACATATGCACTGCTAAGTAAATATTCTATGATACTAATAACAAAGGAGCTATTTATAATTGAATCTTCTATTATACGTAGGTTTCTTCAAGATAGAAAAAAATATGCTAATATGAGAATATATGAAATAATATGTTTTGGTCTTTGTGTATAATGTATTACATTGATTAACTTGATTTACATATCTGTGTTTTCAGTTTCAGTGAGCACAGAGACCATATGACAAGTTTAATAAAACCTTGCTGATATTTCTCCTTCCAGACTTTTCTTAAATTTGCATTTTTCTTCTTTTTTGGTATTTTGCAGTTCCTTCCTTTTGGGGTTTGGTGAACTCAGCTTGGAATCTTTGCTCTGTGGGGAAAAGACAGTCACCTGTCAATATTGAAACCAGCCATATGATTTTTGATCCCTTCCTCACTCCGCTTCGCATAAACACAGGGGGAAGAAAGGTATGTGTTCTGGCATCCTCTGGGATAAAAGCAAGAAGTTAACCGACTTACAAACATTTTGTTATATTTCTGAAACATTAATACTTTTATCTCTGTCAGCTTTGAGGCAGAACAACAATGTAATCTTGTGCAAATCCCAGTTTCATCAGTACTGGAAAGAGCAATCAGAGATGTCTTCTAACGCATCCGTCATTTTCATTTGACCTGTTTGTTACTTGAAATTCTTCAATCCAGAAGAGTAGCATCTCCTCTGTAAAAACTGCACATTAATAACTATATTTGGTGTACATCCTACATGGGATTTTAAAGCTGCTATTCTAAAAATGTAGCTTAAGATGGCCAAAAAGAAAATTAATTGAAACTGTTTAATTGAAACTACTACATGTCAGTGCATAACATGAAAAAATGCAGGAAGTTAGCGTTTCTAAAGAAGGAAAATAGACTTATATCCCAAGCATCATTCATGATAATTTAACGATCTCGTGATATTGTTAGCATTTCACATACATGATGCTGATTTCCTGCATTGCAGAATTTAAATGCTAATTCATTCTTTTCACTTACATTTATTAAAAAAAAAAAGGAATATACTTACTAAAAATATGGAATAGAGTGAAATTTTAGAATTCAGAAAAAAATGTTTTCATTTCTTAGAAATCTTTTTTTTCCAAAATTGGCATTCAGAGAGAGGTGGCATTTGGACAGCATTTCTAATTCAAACTGATCCTCATGATTACACGTAAGGGAGGATTACACATAAATTTATTAAAATTATTTTATAAATAAAATATCTTGAATGTGGTAGAGTTTGTTAGCACTTTTGGAAATAGTCATTTGGACATTTTTCCATAATGGATTTTATGTTGTTTGCTGTATTTGGGACTACCTAAAAAGGTGATTTGAATATGCTGTTGGTTAATCTGTATAGACAGATCTCTTCTTTTATTCAGTCTTCTGTAATATAGAACAATGCAGATGAAGCAGCTTTGTGACTTAGAGAATAGCCAATATGAGAACAAGTGAGACTAACAAAAGGTTATCGAAAATGATTTTCTTTTTGTGGCATCCTAACAAATGAGATTTCTACTGGAAACTGCACAAGATGTTGGGAATTTGCTGTGGATTTCCCACTGTGGGCCGGTGCTTCGTGTGCATGTACATCACAGTTGATGTAAGCTTCGTAACAGAAATGACAGTATGGGAATATCGTTGCTTACTGAAGGACGGTGCACTTCCAGCTCTGGTCCAAATTTCAAAGGAACTTGTACACTTTCCTTTTTAAACAGCAAGGCTTGGAGGTGTTTGATTTTGATAATCAAGTTTTACTGACTCTGCTGTTTATGTAAACTCTGAAATATTTCAGATTATATAAAATTTACGCCATGATATATTATGAAGGTCAAAATGACATGGAAATTGCCAGTGAGTTGAAGTCAGGAGTTCTAGAATTTTTAATACCTTTAACAGCTTGAAGGATTTACATGTTTGTGTGCTGTATAGGAAGAAGTAAATACCAGATTATTAACAGCATGGGAAGTACTAAGGGTCTGGGATGTTACATTAGTAATGGGGTAGTTTTTTGCACTTTTGGGGTAGAGTTTGCACTCACAAATGGTATCCTGCTGGTTTCAAACAGTGATGGTCTTCTGTCAAGCTATGTGAAAAGGATTTGCTCTAGTTCTTTGATCTGTTTTAGAGGCATTTCTAAAATAGTGGTATCAAAGTTCTCCTTCAAGCAAAAGACTGCAATTTGATGCTTTCAAAAAATAGTTCTTTGCTAAGGCTTCAGTGAGGATTTGATTTTGCTGGCAGCATATTTGCGTTCACTGTTTTGGTACTGTTTTCTGGTGTGTTCAGAATGGAGGTGTGTTTCATACAGGCAGAAACTTCTGTTTTCAGGGCAATGAACCAACTGAAACAGCAGCCAGAGAACTTCTTAGACAAGAGTTAGCTGTGATTATGCTGTACATTGAAGGGTTCTATGGAACTGATCCGAAGAAAACAATGAGCAGATAAAAAAGGGTTTTGATATGGTTTCAAACCACTGCTGTAAAAAGATGACTTACATCCACAGTGAACAAGAGTCAAAATTACACACATCTTTTTAAAAGGGTGTTAGGAGGGCAGTCAAGCCTTAAGAGAGCAGCCAGATCTCCTAAATAAAATTAAAACTTTGAAAGATATTAGCAGGATGTCACTTGTGGTTGTAGAGGTTGCATCAGTGCTGTCCCATCTGTGTTCTGAAGTACCTGAATACCCCTGGAGCACCAGTCCTGGCATCTTCTGCCTCACACTGCTTAGTTCTTGGTACCTGTGCCCCAAGTACCTCTTTGGTGGGATGTTAAGGTCCCTTTGGGAATTCTGTAACCGTGTAGCATAAGAGCATTGATTTTTTTACCCATTCTTTGCCATTTTTTTCTTCCTAATAACGTGCTAAATAGCAGCATTTGCTTTAGACACCAAGTGAATCCCTGACAGTTAATTAAACCTTGTCATGTTAGTAATGCCATGTGTTACTAATCATTTTAGTCACGCTCAAGGACTTAAACTGTTTTACAGCACGTGAAGTTTTGTTTAAGATCTCTTTTTAAGATGAGAAAGTCCCTTCTACCTCATGTGAATCTCTGTGGAAATGAACCACTCCGGGGCTGCTGGCCAAGGTCTAGTTCAGGGAACCTAAATGAAAGGAACTTGCTACCATCCATAATTCTGCCTTCTCATAGGGGACATTAAAATGAAAGCAATCACGTTTACATTAATACCTTTATAAATAACTGGCTCCTTCTATGCGTCAAAAAATAATGGCAACATTTGGCAGTTTCTAAGCTAAAATAGGGAGGGAGAAAAGGCAGAACCAGGAATTGAAATCAGTTAAGTGGTTTCTCTGCCAGGTAGTTGTGATTCCATGCTGTTCTATCAGTTCAGAATACCACTAGCATTTTTCTCAAGAGTACAATATATGACAACTGCCAAGCTTTGCTTTGCTGATTACTAAAAGGACAGATACTGGTGTGAACCATATTTCAGCACAGCACGAATATAAAAAATGAATTGTTAGAAATGATCTAGGAGGAATGAATAGCAATAAGACATCAATGTCATCTGTAAACTGATTTGTGGTGAATTTTCAGAGGACTTAATAATACAATGTTTTGATTTAGAGTGGATGCAGAAAGTCAAAAGTCTGACGCAAACATCAAAAACTTAAAATGAATTAAAATGAGTAATTGGGCCACATTTCTGCTACTCCTACAGTACTGTGTGTTATCCAATGTATTAGTAAGTGAATACAAATGTAACTAGCAAGTTAATGTCGTTAATCAGTCCTAGCCACTGGCTATTCAGAATAGGAAAATTTGCCACGTATCATTTCTGAGGCACCTGAAAATGTTGTTCTTAGTTGACCATGTACAGGGAAAATGTGTATGCAGGGACTAATCTAGATACATACCAGGGATTCTGTCTTCTTATCACTTCAGAGATCCTCATTTGAGATTGTATGCAGACAGAGTACTGGGTGACTCGGCAGTGCAGTTGGCTGCGTTCTCTGAATCCCTGATGGTGGAGCAGGACTGAAACCAGGAACGTGGCCTGAGCAGGCACAGGGAGGCGTTTCTACAGTTCCTTTACAGGAGCAATTTTTTTGTTGTGCCAAAGTAACTACTACTTTGATATTAAATCCTAGCCAGTGTCATCAACTAAGCCAACTTGTCTGCCATGCAAAATATCCTGGGAAATCATAGAAATGGCAGGAA